CACAAAGGAAAATGGTGACAAATACGACTTTAAAGAAAGAAAGGTCACAAATGACAATTCGAGAGAAGATGCTTGCAACATGTATAGCAGTCAAATGATAAGAGTTTCTTTCTTTTTTTTTTTTTTTGAGAGGTTTTTGCTATAGGGCGCGTGCGCTCGCCAGACAGACAGAGAGAGACAGAGAGACAGAAAGCGAGAAATCACCTCCCAGGGGGAATGGTCATGCCGCAATCCCTTCTCCTCCATTCTCCTCTCGGGATCTTGGGCACGCACGCACACACGCCCGGCGTGAGTTTTAAGCCACTGGGTCCGGGACGTGAACCACGGTCGACTACATGGGAGTCCAGCGACATAGCCATTACGCTAACTGCTGGTTCCCAAGATAAGAGTTTCTTTTGAACAAAGAGCCCCTATAAACCAACGCTAGTATTACGGCCCTAAAAGAGCAAAAGATATGAACAAGCAATTACAAAAAGATATATACATGAACAACAAACACAGAAAGATGTTCTTCACCACTAAAAATCAAAGAAATACTGAGTGAAACAAGGTACTGTTTTATCTGTTAGACTGGTAAAAACGAGAGGCTGATAATATGCCAGTCCCTGTGTGCCAGGACTCCCAGCTCCTGTTGCCCTGGGTGACCACTCCCTCCACCACCAAGGCCAGCATACTCCCCAGACACTGCAGCCCCACATCCTTGGCCTGCATCACTGCAGGTGGCCAAGCAGCCCACTGGGTGACCCCCACACCCAGAAAAGTTGCATCGCCAATACCACGAACACTCGCAGTCTGAAGCAATTGGGCCATTTGCAGACGCCAATGATGTTGGTGACATCCAGAAAAGTCACAGGGAGACTGTATCATAAAGAACCCAAACCAAACACCCTACCCAGCTGACACTGTATGATCCAGCTTCGGGAAAATATCTTCCCATAAGAAAGCCACTCTGTAAAATCAGAAGAGGTGACCAACCCACCATGGATCAGATACCCATGTAGGGACACGAGAAACATGAAAAAACAAGGAAACATAACATCTTCAAAAGAACACAATAATTCTCCAGTAACTGATCCAAAAGAAAAGAAAAAATTTGAGATGCTCAAAAAAGAATTCAAAATAATGATCCTAAAAAAAAAATCTCAATGAGATTTAAAGAAAAAATATAGACAACTCAATCAAGAAAAGTGATCAGACAAGACATTTGCTAAAAAGATAGAAATCATAAAAAAAAAGCCCAAATCTTGAAACTGAAGAACTCAATAAATGAAATAAAAAATAAAATAGAGAGGGCCAGCAGGCTGTATGGTGATTAAGGCACTGGACTCCCACATAGCCGACCACAGTTTGAATCCCAGACCTGGTGACTTTAAACTCATACTGGTTACATGTGTGTAAAATCTTGAGAGGAGAATGGAAGAGAAAGGATTGTAGCATGGTCATCCTCCCTGGGCGGTGATTTCTAACCTCTCTCTCTCTCTGTGTCTGTCTCTCTGGCAGGTGCACACACCCTATAGCAAACATCTGTCTCTGAAAAAACAAAAACAAAAGCAATAGAGAGCTTCAACAGCAGACTAGATCAAGCAGAAGAAAAAAAAAACTCTGACGTTGAATATGTCTTTTGAGATCATACAGTCAAAAAAAGAGAGAGAGAAAAAAAGAATAAGAAAGAAGAGAAAAAAGAATGAAGACAGCCTACACAACCTATCGGGTACCATCAAGTGAACAGACACATTAGTGGGAGTTCTAGGTAGGAGGGCAGTCTCTTCACTGACATTGGAAGGCATGATAAGTAGGAAAGGAATTAAGGTGCTCTTTGAGCCGATATCCTTTGCTCAGAATATCTTTTGCTCTGACTACGGGATATGCCAGTGACTTGCAAATAATTATATACAGAGAACGTCCATAAACTTCCATAGCTAATATAGGAAAAGCCTTTGGTGTCGCCACTAAGGACTTCTTCTGCTGTCCTATTGATAATTGTAAGACAAATGACCTTGTATTCAATTATTGATGAGAAGGGGCCAGCAGAACTCATTGCATAGTAAAATCAGGGGATCGGAAGCCACTATTCATCCGTCCTATTCTTCTAACTAATGTGTAGGCTCCTCTAAAAGCCTCGGCCACACCAGTCAGCATCTGCTAGAACACCTCTACTGTTCACTCGCGGGGCAAGTATTTCCTGAACACCTACCTTGTGCTAGGACTGACAGTACAGTGGGGGACAAGGAGACATAGTACACCTCATTAGGGAGGTGGTAGTCCGGAGGGGGCATGGATATGAGATAATCATGTGACAATAAGTTTACAACTGAGCTAAGCAGCGAGAGAGAGCGACGTGATGCCGTAAGAACCTCAAACAGGAGAATTCGACTTTGTTGGAAAGGTCAGGAAAGGTTTCGGTAGTGCGGCTGGAGCTGAAGGATGATAGATGGGAAGGGTGTTAATGAGTCAAAGAAAAGAAAGAAATGAGTGAGAACATCTCAGGCAGAGGGCTGCATGAGCCACGTCCTGCGGCAGAGGGCAGGAAGATGAGTGAGAGGCTGAGAGACCGTGGAGACGTACAAGAGAGAAGGAGGGGGAGTTAGAGTGACACGAGGTTGGCCAGGTAGGTGGACCAGCCGAGTGGAGGGACCTTGCTCTCAGAAGCCTGGAAGGACCGATGCAGCATGTGGAGGTCCCTCTCACTGCTGGGCGCAAGCCTCTCTGCACCACGACTCAGTGGTTCCCATAGTCCCACCCTCCCCTACAGCTCGGGACCTCAGATTTCATTTTCCTCACGCATGCCAAATATTTGAGGAGGGCCTCCCCTGCCTTCCCCGTTTCCTCTAGAGGCACATTTTCTGTCCTCCTTCCACCCCAGGTAGATTTCTGCATGCCCTTCAGTTTGTCCTTTTCTCTGTCAACGAGCAGGCGTAAGAACAGAGTGCAGGACAGTGCAGGGCCCGGAAAAGCAAACGGAAGATGATTACCGAGCGAACGGAAAACTGCCAAAAACATGCACGCGCACTCAGAAGCCATCAGCTGACTGAAATGGAGAACCGTAAAACAATAAGCGATCTAAAACAACGGAAGTATATTTACAATGCTTGATGGCCAGAGGGAATGAGGAGAGGGAGGCTAGTTCACCGTTTAGAGAGGGGATTCCCAGCACCAAGAGAAGCAACTGAACATTTTACCCTTGATCTTAGCCGAAAGGCTGAGAAGCGATTGCTTTCAACGTTTAGAACATTAAAAAAAAAATGAGTCCTGTGAAATAGTAGTGAACATAATCATTATAATTTGTGGGGAGAAAGAAACAAAACAAAAAAGGTTAAAAATGATTGATCCATGGGGCCAGCAGGTGGTGTGGTGGTTAAGGGTGCTGGACTACCTACCACATGGCCAACTGCGGTTCACGCCCAGACCTGGTGGCTTGCTTTTCTCACTTTCTCTCTTACTCTGCCCCTCTCTGGCCAAATTTAAATAAATAAATTAAATTAAATAATTCTTAAAACATTAGTTATCCAAAATGATACATATCAGAGCCATACATATGCACACGAAGAATCTCACAAGGTAATATTGGATAAATAAAAGCGTACTGTAGAATGGAATCTATAAAGTGCTTAAAAACATGCGAAATGAAACTGTATATTACTTCTGGGGACATACGGGCAGGAAACGTGTAAACGTGAGGGAGAGGGCGGGATACACACCGGCAGGCGGCCGCTCCTCCCGGAGGCAGGCATGCAGGACTGGAGGGCGCTGACATACCTCATTTCTTACGCCGGGGGGGCAACGCGGCACCGCTTACGTTATTATTTAGGCCCTTTTATGTTTCTGTAATATTTCCCAGTACGTTTTCAAATTTTAACGTAGTTGTGTTTATTTATGTTTTAGAGTTTCTGCCATAGGGTGTGTGTACTTGCCAGAGAGAGACTGAGAGAGAGAGAGACAGTCACGGGGAAAGTGAAAAATCACCCCCCGGTGGGGATGGCCATGCCGCAGTCCCTTCTCTAGTCTCCTCTTGCGATTGTGGGTACACACGCACATGAACACACACACAAGCCACAGGGTCTGAGACCCAAACCATGGACAGCCATGTGGGGGCCTAGCGCCTTCATCACCATGCCACCTGCTGCCCCTGCCTCCTGTACATCTTAAAAAAAAAAAAAAAACTGACAGCGTAGGCTGTTAGGTGAATTTCAGAGAAGAAAAGAAATAGAAACAAGGACCCTTAATTTCTTTCTCGTGATTGATTTCTGTTCAAGAATAGGCTTAGATAGGCTCAATCCCTGGGTGGCATAAAGCAGTTTCATGATAAGATGCAGGCCTGGTACTACTGGACAGAATCGAAGGCCCAACCAACAGAGCCATCCAGGGTGACTTCTTCTTCTTCTTTTTTTTTTTTTCTTTTAAGATTTTGGCCATAGGAAATGTGTGCTCACCAGAGAGAGACAGAGGGAAAGTGAGAAATCACTCCCCAGGGGGGATGACCATGCCACAATCCCTTCTCCTCCACTTTCCTCTAGAACTTCTGGGCATGCATATACATGTGCCCAGTGTGTTTTTCAAACCTTAGGGTCTGGGACTGGAATCGTGGAGTTGGTGGTCATGTGGGATCGGCATCTTAACCACCATGCCAACTGCGGGCCCCAAAGTCACTACAATGCCAACTGTTTGCAGATAAAATAACCCTGCCCCCTCATTTCCAGACAGAGACTAAGCCCAGCTAGGCATGGTGACGTGTACCCGTGGAACGGCATGCTTGGGAGGCTGAGGCAGGAGGATATGACACAGCAAGACCCTGTCTAAAAAACGCCACACACAGGTACATGCACACACACACAGCACGGCAGCCTGGTCTCACGTGGACTGCTACAGACTGCGGAGACACCGTCACACACAGCTCATCGGGGCGCAGTGTTAGAAGGTCTCTCACGGTCCCTGCCCCACGGGCGCGGAGGGTGCAGAATCATTACACGCTCAGTATTTCATGTGGCATCGATTCGACTTACCTGTTGTTTCAAGGTGCTTGGATCAATAAAAGTCACCAGATCTATAGAGAAGTAGCCGACTACATCTTTCATTCTGCAGGCCTTTCCAATCTGGAGGCACAGACAATTGAGAGCGTTGGGATCCACCGAGGTCTGAGGCATGGTAGTACCAGAGGAGATGAAGGGGCCGTCGGCGTGGAACTGGTCCCCTGTCGACAGCACCCGGATTTCCCCGTTGGGCTCTATCAGCATGTCCACCGTCAGGTTGGTGATGCTGTCTGCAGGGGGGAATGCCTCGATCGTGCCCCCTGGTGGGAGAAGCATGCAGTGTGGTCATTCAGAGCAGGAGGAAAGAACCTACGCTTTGATTTGGGCCCTCAGCCTGCTTCTGTCAGCTCTTGGGGACATTTGCGGAAGTAGCTTAAATTCTCTGAACTTCTTTTTCTTCATCTGTAAAATGCACATAATAAAACCTATCTCATCAGAAGATAGCACAGCAGTTATGTTGCTGGACTCCCACCCAGCTGACTGACGTTCAAGTCTTGGACCTGGTGGCTTGAAACTCATGCTACATCTTGATCTCCTCCAAGATCCCAGGAGAGAATGGAGAAGGGATTGTGGTGTGGCCATATCCCCTGGGAGGTGATTTCTCACTTTCTGTTTCTCTGTCTTCCCAGCGAGTGCAGCGTCCTATAGAAAAAGACAAAAACGAAAACAAAAACCTCTCTCTAAACAAAAACAAAAACAAAAACAAAAACCAAACCTATCTCAGCGGAGAGCTGTTAATCTTAGAGACACTGCATCTGGAGTGTTTAGGCCAATGCGTGGCATAAAGAACAGCTCAATGAATGGTAGTTTGGTTCTGATCACAATTATGAAGACACTAGAGATCAAGTCTATGCCTACTCACTGCATAAACAATGAACCCAGGGGTTATGGCCAGATCCTTCTGGGAAAATTAACTGCCCGTAGTCCAGTTGGTATCGTGATGGCCAGCCTGCTCGTTCTGCTCAACTTCACTGCCTTTCAAAGATTTGATGGGCTTGGGATTTTAGCAGGCACAGAGAGTACTGGCCCTGAGGTCAGCCAAAGGACTCCTGGTTGTAAAACAGTTTTTCTTCTGTTCTCAGACAGGTTCTCACTACTGTCATGGTACTCCTCCCTCAGCCTCCTGAGTGTCTGGGGCTACAGACATGCACCACGGGCCTGGCTTTTAACGTGGGCCGGGAGTTGAGGCTGGCAGGTGGTGTGGTGGTTAAGGGTGCTGGATTCCCACATGGCTGACTGCGGTTTGAGTCCCTGACCTGGCGGCTTGCTTTCTCACTTTCCCTCTCTCTCTCACTCTCACTCTGTCCCTCTCTGGTTAAATTGAAATAAATAAATGAAGTTAAATAAAATAATTATTAAAAAAGAAAAGTGGGCCAGGAGTTGAATCTGGGCCTCCCATGTTTGTCAATCAGTGTGGGCTCCCTCAGCTGGGCCTATAAAATATTTTTAAAAAATATAGAGCCAAGGCGCAGCCCCCGGGGCCTTGCGCTGCAGCGGCGGGGCCTGCGCGCCCCCCCGGGCCTTGCGCGGCAGTGGCTGGGC